AGTGAGGGCTTAATTTCGGCTTCTTGTTCGGCACTGTCTGCTCTAGCCAGAACACTTGAGCAGCATAAGTATCAGATTTCCTCTTCTCCTTGTTCAGCTGATCTTGAAGTTCCGACACCGTTTGCTCCAACGACAACGCTTTAGCAGCACAAGTATCAGATTTGACCTTCCCCTCGTCCAGTTCAGCTTTGAGAATTTTGTTGTCTTCCTCGAGTTCTCGGAATCGAGAACCATCAGCTTTTGCTTTCTTCCTTGCCAAGGAAATCTCATCAAGCTTTGTCTTCAAAAAGTCTAGCTTGAAACCTGCTTCTGTTAAATCGATCAACTCACTCTGAGCGTTGCTAAGCTCAATGTCGGTGATTCTACGTGGAGGCTTGTTCAATGTCTCAACGAGAGCGAGGAGGAGATTCATGTATGTTGTCTTCACCAATTGGTTCTTTGGTCTGACATTCACTGCAAAGTCCGGGTGTTCATAGAAAAGGTCACTCACTGTAACAACCTGTCAACAAGAGAAATGTGAAATTATGTTAACCAGAAAAGCGAATCAAAAAGAAGAAACTCGACAAGAAGCATCCTTATAATATTAATAATCATACCTGAGAATAAAGAACTTGGAAACCCTCGAAATCAAACGTCTCATTCCCAGTGACAACTCCTTGATCAACAACTTCAACTACTTTTACTTCCACTTTCACTATGAGTTTGTTCTTCTCCAAACACCCTTTCTCTTGAAGCTCTTTAAGAGGTACGACATCTGGCATACCCCATCCTGAGAACTGATCGCAAAACAATTTGCATGACAGTTCTGTAAGAAAAAAACCAGAAATATTAATTTGAATTTTCGTCATCATCAATCAGATATATACATGGAAGATAAGTTAATTACCATCTGTTCTGAAGACCTCTTTGCCTGATTCATTCAACAGAGCGAAGGAAAAATTAGCTCGCCTTCTCCATCCAAGTCGCAGTAATTTAGGATTTGCAGCTAAGAGGTAGAGAGATAAGTGATCATCAACATGGTCTCCTTTGGGAAAAACGTCAACATACCTAGAAGAAAGAAGAAACAAGAGAAGTTGGTTAATTTAACGGTTTAGTTGTATTAAACGATATTCTGATGAATCAAAAAGATGAGTTGATATTAATCAAAAACACTTTTTTCTTTTTCTTTTACCATTTGCAGCCGCCGCTTGAGAATGTTGGTGATCGTATCCTATCTTCCTTGCCCGAGAAGTTATCTATCTCAAACGTGAAACTCATCTGCTCTTGATCCTCCTCCATATCTCTACAAAAACACTTTTGTCACTTCGAGCATAAGACAAAACTTACAGTTCACACAAACTAGTCAACTAGTTTGGAAACTCTTATCAATTGCCAGAAACCGACAATGTTATAACAAAAATATAACACCAATTATATAGTTAAAAACTCACTAATCTGACAAACAAAACCCATCTGCCAACTATGTCCATGAAAAGAGAAAACAACACAAAGTAATCTTATAAAGCTTTATAAGAGCTTTATTTATATTGGACTTTACGTAACGGTAACAACTGATTCGTCAAAACTACGACTTCTCCAAACCAATATTAACATCCATGTTTCTTGCTTAGCAACAAGTCCACGAGATTTCATTTCTTAGAGGAATTTCAACAAACACTTGGCAGACACAATTACAGTTACAGTCAGTGCAAAGAAAATAATCTTTTGTAATCCTCTCCAAAGTGAACGAATCAACAAAAAAAAAAACAACAGCAACCATAAATTTCGCTAAATCAAACAAATTTATGTTTCAGTCTACAAAGCTTTGTCAAAACTCAAAAGATACCTGAACATGCACGAAAAAAATAGAATTTTTTTTTTTTCAAAAAGAAAGGAGGTGATCTAAACCCTGACCCGAAAAGAGGAGACGATCGTAGACTAAAAACGAAATCGAAACTGTAAAAAAGAAGAACACTTGAGCGAAACCCCAAAAACGAAAGACTCACCAAGTAGTAGCTCCTGGAGTTTCTCAAAGGAACTAAGCAGAGATGCAAAAATCTACCACCAATCTCCGCAATTTGGTCGATTGCAAAGAGAAACAGAGAAAAACAGAGAAGAGAACGATTTTTAGGGAGAGATAATGGTAGCAAAGAGAGAGAGATAGGAACCGGAAAAGGATTTTGACAGTGCTGTAGTGAGAGGAAACTGTAAGGTTCCAACTTCCAATGTTTGGTCATAATTCATAAAAATAAAACAAGTCTTTCTGACAAAGAAAATAGCCAGGAAAATATGTTGCCGCGGTTTTCGTTTGTCGGTGTAGGGGAAGAGTGCTATTTTTTAAAAGTTTTACTGCATCACCGTCAAGTCCCATTATTGCGTAATCCGAATTTTTTATACAACAATTACTAGGAACAGTTTGGTCTTTTACAATGAAAAAGTAATTGTACATGCACTCATACATTTATGTGTATTCTCTTAGTTGTATGGTCAATTAAAAGAGATTATGTAACCATTGAACTTCAAATAAATTCTTAACGAGTTTTTTTATTAAAACTAGGATTTGGTTCTCTATACTTTTTTATTAAGATGTTAATCCTCAAAAAGTCAAAGACTTCTAAGCCCTACATTTAAATGATTGACTCAAGTGGATACAACTGATGTTTTTGGAGACGATGAAGTATACAAAGATTAGTCAAGAAGATAAGAAAATCTTGCATCGATTTACTTTTTGTTGCTTGTGGCTTACATTAGCTAGCTCTCATGCTTAAATTTTCCAGACCTTTTTTATAATTTATTGTTGTTTTCAGGTAACATTTGGTGAATGTTGTGATTCTTTTGACCAATACAGATCATAATCCGACACTAATAGTCGGAAAAGCTTTGTGATATAACTCTTGAGACTTTTTACAAAACTCAGTTAATACATTTCAAGTAAAACAGATATACACAGACACTCGTCGTATACTATTATAATATGCTCTCGAAGTTAGTTTGCGTTTAGATAACTAAACTAGGAGTCTTGTTTATAATGTAGTTCTTTCTTACTGGGACTCTTGACTCTTGAGAATGAGGAGACACAATCTACCAATATAACTTAGTTTGTTCCGCAAAAAAAAAAAATAAATAAATAAGTAGAGCAAAAGTTTTTTTTAAAAAAAAAAGATATGAACGACTTGTGACGCAAGTCATTGTTTGGAAGACTAAGTTCTACGAAGGTTAGTGAGACTGAGACGCAATCTAGCTACGAAAATCTGACTTCATCTCTACGTCCCGAGACATTTCATAGATTATGAAGTTATCATATATCAGCTAAAGTAGCAAGAAGAGGGCAAAGAAGGAGATGGAGCAAATATAGTTTTATAATAGCCAGTCCGCAAATTGTATCTGACTTCAAACATTTTGAATAATAATCTTCGTAAAATATTGTTCATCAAACTAAGAGTTTCCACACCCAAAAGATTAGACCTTATGCTAGCTCTCAGCTTACGGAAACTTAAAAAAAAGACACAAATTTTTGGAAAAATTAGCGAGTGCTTACTTTTTCAGCTTATTGTTCGGCTCAGCTCTGAGATCCTACACGGTCTTCTCCAGCGACAAAACTTTAGCAGCATAACTAGCAGATTTGACCTTCTCCTCGTCCAGTTCAGCTTTGAGATTCTGGATTTGATCCTCGAGTTCTCGGACTCGAGAACCATCAGCATTTGCTTTCTTCCTCTCCAAGGACATCTCATCAAGCTTTGTCTTCAACCAGTCTAGCTTGAAGCCGGCTACGTCGGTTAGCTCGATCAACTCGCTGTGAGCGTTGCTTAGCTCTGTGTCGGTAATGCTAATTAGAGGCTTGTCCAGTGTTTTGATGAGACCGAGGAGGAGATTCATGTATGTTGTCTTCGCCAATTGGTTCTTTGGTCTGACATTCACTGCAATGTCCGGGTGTTTTGTGAAGAGCCGAGTCACTGAACCCACCTGTCAACGAGAGGAAGATGTGATTATGCTGACCAGAAAATAGAATAAAAAAAAAGACAATGAGAAGCATTTCTATAATACTAATCGTACCTGAGAATAAAGTATAGATGTTTGTAGAAGTGATGATTTATTCATTCTCTCATAGAGGTTATTTATACAAGAAGACAACCAAGGTCGGGCTTTACAATAGAGTTAATGTAGAATATATACTATCTATAAGTGATTCCTAGATATCAGCAATTAGTGATACGATGATATCTTTACATGCCCCCTCAAGATGGAGGAGCCTTGGTGACTCCAATCTTGGATGAGAAATCGTTGAACACAGCTTTGGACAAGGGCTTGGTTAAGGCATCAGCAATTTGATCATGTATAGAGACATGAACAACTCGAAGAGCTCCAGACTGAACCAGTTCTCGGATGAAGTGGTAATCAATAGCAATATGCTTCATCCTGGAGTGGAAAACTGGATTGGCACACAGATAGGTTGCACCTACATTATCACAATAAATAACCGGTGGCCAGTTGACACGAATGCCAAGTTCAGTGAGCAAGGAGCATAACCATTTGACTTCTGAAGCAGTGTTCGCCATTGATCTGTATTCAGCTTCTGTCGATGACCTCGCCACTCCTTGTAGTTTCTTTGAGGACCAGGAGATGGGGTGTGAGCCAAGATAGATAATGTAGCCATTTGTAGAGCCATAATTGTCAGAATCACCTCCCCAATCTGCATCAGAGTATGCATGAAGTGTGGAGTTGTTGCCTTTCTTGAGGAAGATTCCATGAGTTGCTGTACCAGCTAGATACCGAAGAAGTCTCTTGACCGCAAGCCAATGATCAGTTGTAGGCGCATGCATAAATTGAGAGAGTTTACTGACCGCATAAGAGAGATCAGGCCTAGTGAAAGCCAAGTATTGCAGACTGCCAAGTGTAGCCCGATATTCAGAAGGATCGGTGAGTCTGATGCCTGAATGCAAGGTGAATTTCGGAGAGACTGCCATAGGTGTGTTGACGGGCTTGGCAGAAAGCATGTTGGTACGAGCTAGAAGATCTAATATTTATTTCCGCTGATTGAGGTGTAAACCAGAGGAAGTACGACGTGCTTCAATACCAAGAAAATAATGCAAATCCTCTGGATCCTTGATCGAAAACCGCAGAGCCAATGCATCCAGAGTTTGTTGAATTAAACTTGAGTCGTTGCCCGTGACAACGATATCGTCCACATACACCAGCATATAGATAATAGAGGTACCTCGGTGCAGGATAAACAGAGATGTGTCGGAGAGAGAGTTAACAAACCCGACAGAGAGAAGATAGTTCTTCAGTTCAATGTACCACGCCCTAGGTGCTTGCTTCAGACCGTATATAGCTTTATTCAACCGGCAAACATAGTCAGGATGATCTTTGTCGATGAAACCAGGAGGCTGTTTCATATACACTTCATCTGTCAACGTGCCTTGCAGAAACACATTATTGACATCCAGTTGCCGGAGAGGCCACGATCCATCAACCGCAGCACCCAGAACCACACGGATAGTTGTTGATTTAATGACCGGACTGAAAGTCTCTGCGTAGTCAAGACCAGGACGTTGATTGTAGCCTTGAGCTACTAAGCGTGCTTTGTAGCGATTCAGACACCAGAGGATGAAATTTCTTAGTAAAGATCCACTTACTGACCATTGACGACTGTACGAGATCCCACGTCCGATGCTGCCATTATACTCACCATCCATTGAGCTTGAGAGCTTGAGCAGCTGTACGAGGCAGAAAGCAGATAACGACGATTCGGTTTAACGATACCAGCTTTGGATCGAGTACCCATGGCGTGAAGATTTTCTGGGATTGGGTTTTGTGGATTTGGATTTTGTGGGTTTGGCGGATTCTGTGGATTTTGGTTTTGGGGTTCAATTGGAGGATTTGGTGGAGGTGGATTTGGTGGTGATGTATCAGAAGTGGAGGAGGATGATGTCGTCGAGGGGGACACCGTCGTCGAGTTGGAATTTTCCGATTCCGACGGGAAACTGTTCTGGGTTGAGGATGAAGGAGAAAGAAGTGGGCCATGTGGATTTTGTGGTGAAGTGGGCTGATTTTGTGGTGATTGTTGCTGGGCCGTGGGTTGCGGCCCATTTTGTGTTGGAGCAGTGGGCTCAGAGTTTGAGGAGGGAGAAGAAGAAGAGATAGCGTTGAGAGGCGATACCTGTGGAGGAGCGGCGGTCAACGATGGCCCGGAAGAGGCGGAGTGAAGGTCCGAACACGGGAAAACAACCGGCGAACTCTGAGACGGGAGCTGTATGAGGGCTGGTCCTTCCATGGACACTGTGCAATCGAGATCTGTGACTTTCGGAGCTTGAGTGAAAGCAAACGGAAAGTCATGTTCATCAAATTGGACATGGCGTGAGGTGTATAGACGTCCAAAGGGAAGGTGCAGACAATAGTAAGCACTCTGTGTGTTGGAGTAACCCAAGAATGCACACCGAAGTGATTTGTCATCCAATTTGTGACGATTGTACGGTCTCAACCAGGGATAGCAAGCACAGCCAAACACACGCAATTTGTCATAATTGGGAGCTACTCCAAAGAGTTTCTGGAACGGCGAACACAATTCAATGACGGGAAATGGTAAACGGTTGATGAGATACACCGCGGCGGCAAAAGCGTAAGGCCAGTACTGCTTTGGAACAGAGGCTGTCGACATGAGCGTCATTCCCATTTCCACTACATGATGATGCTTCCGTTCTGACATACCATTGTGTTCTGGCGTGTGAGGAGGTGACGTCAAGTGGGAGATGCCATGTGTAGAAAGGTATTCTCTTAACGCCACATACTCACCTCCCTTATCAGAAAACAGCGTCCCTATCTTGTGTTGAAAACGATTCTCCACCAAACTCTTAAAGGCTATGAATGTTTGTTTGACTTGGGATTTTTGTTTCAGGGGATATAGCCAGGTGTATCGGGTAAAGTGATCCACGAAAATGACATAGTATTTGAAGTTATCATGTGAAAGAATGGGGGAACTCCACACATCGGAGAAAAGATATTCAAGAGGTCGTGATGAGGTAATTGTGGATTTGGAAAAAGGAATTTTATGGCTTTTATTTATTAAGCAATCTGAACAGGAGAAAGCTTGAGATAATGGTTTTTTCACAGGAAGAGAGAATTGAGAAACAACAGTGTTTAGAATGGAAGAAGAGGGATAGCCTAATCGCAAATGCCATGAAGCTGAAGTCGCCTTAGAGTTTGGTGAAGCAAACAACGCAGAGACTTGAGACGGAGACACCGGCCATTCATACAGTTCATCTCTAGTTTTGCCTTGGAGTAATGGGGTTCCCGTGTTCAGATCCTTCACCTGAAAGGATGCAGGGAAGAATTCCACCGAAACACGGTTAGCATTGCATAATCGATATACCGATATAAGATTTTTATGGATATCAGGGACATATAAAACATCTTGTAAACGTAATGGGTGATATTGTGTAGGGAGAGATTTGAAACCGGATGACAGTTTTGTAGTCGTCAGGCAGGCCTTCGAGGATGAGATCAATCTGATCTTCATGTTCCATCGCAGCCCCGAGTATCGCAAGTTGGTCTAGGCGAGTGGTGACGCCTTGAAGGTAAACATCAATGGTTTTACCTCCTTTGCGCCAGTTTTTGAGTTGCGTCTTGAGTTGTTTGATATGACCCCTGCTAGGTTTAGCATAGGTTTGGGCAAGTGTGTCCCATACTTCAGAGGCTGTGGAAGCACGGGAGACAAGTGGTTGGAGCGAGGGGGAGATTGCTCCAATAAGAGCACTGAAAATCAGTTTGTCTTGTCGATTCCAGAGTGTATACGCTGGATTCACTGAGACTGCATCACCAGTCGTAAGAGTTGATGGAGGAACGACCTCAGATCCATTGATATGACCGCCAAGATCATATCCATCAAGTAGTGCTTGGATCTGGATCTTCCACATGAGATAGTTCGTAGCCGTCAGTTTAGCAACATGAGTCATGTTGACGACTACCAGTGCTGAGTTAGTGACCGGAATGGTCTCAGTCACCGTTGGAGAGGTGTTGGCGGAGGAAGACATGATGTTGAGAAAAGCAGAAAAGAAGAAGAAAAAAAAAAAAAAATACAGAGAAAAATATGTGTTTATGGATCGAGGAGCTCTGATATCATATAGATGTTTGTAGAAGTGATGATTTATTCATTCTCTCATAGAGGTTATTTATACAAGAAGACAGCCAAGGTAGAGCTTTACAATAGAGTTAATGTAGAATATATACTATCTATAAGTGATTCCTAGATATCAGCAATTAGTGATACGATGATATCTTAATATAAAGAACTTGGAAACCATTATAATCATACGTCTCCTTCCCGGTCACATCTCCTTGATCAACAACTTCAACTACTTTTACTTCCACTTTAACTCTCAGTTTGTTCTTCTCTAGAAACCCTTTTTCTTGAAGCTTTTTAAGAGGCAAGGCCTTTGGAAGACCCCATGATGAGAACTGAGCGCAGAACAATATGCACGACAGTTCTGTAAGGAAAAATCAGAAATGTTAATTTGAATTTTCGTCATCATCAGTCAGATATATAATTATATACATGGTAGATAAGTTAATCACCAACTGTTCTGAAGAGCTCTTTTCCTGATTCATTCAACAGAGCGAAGGAAAAACTAGCTCGCCTTTTCCATCCAAGTCTCAATGATTCAGGATTCGCGACATATAGGTACAGTGACAAGTGATCATCAACAAGATCTCCTTTGGGGTAAACCTTAACATACCTTAAAGAAAGATGAAACGAGACAAGTTAGTTAATTAAACCATTTAGTTGTAAACCTAAAATGGGAGACTAGAAGATGAGTTAATAATAATAAAAATACTCACACATAATATATAGTATTTTTTTGTCTTTTACCATTTGCAGCCGCCGCTTGAGAATGTTGGTGATGATATCACAGCTTCCTTATCGGAGAAGTTATCAATCTCAAAGGTGAAACTAGTCTGCTTTTGATCCTCCATGTTTCTGAAAATACCAATCCTTTCTTATGTTTTGCCACTTCGAGCAAAAGACAACTTTAATTCTCACAAACTAGTCAATGCAACTGTAAACACACATCAATTTCCAGAAACAGGCAACGTTACAAAAAAACTATAACCTAAAATATATAATTGAAAACTTAGTAATCTGAGAAAACAAAACCAAATTATGTCCATGAAAGAAAAAGAAAAAATAAATGAAGATTTTCTAGTATAAGTACTCATAGAGCAAACAAGTTTTCTACTAATTTGAAAAACAAATACTGATTCATCAAACTACTACTTCTCTCAATGTTAACATCCATGTTTTCTTTCTTAGCAGAAGTCCAAGAGATTTCATGTTTTGTTTTCACAATTTCATTTCAACAAACACTTGCCAGGCATATTTACAGTTACAGTCAAATGCAAATAAAATAATCTTTTGAAATCCGAAATCCTCTACAAAGTGAACGACGAAACTAAACAACAACAACAACAACAACAACAGCCAAAAATTTCGCTAAATCGAACACATTTCTGTTTCAGTCTACATTTCTGTTTCACACAGGAATTTCAACCAACAACTACCAGACATATTAAAAGTTCCAGTCAATGCAAAACTATAAAACATAATCTTTAAAATCTTCTACAAAAGTGAACGAAGAAAAAAAGAGAACAAAAAAGGAAGAGATCTAGCTTCACCAGGAAAGCCGAGATGATCGTAAATGAGACTGCGGGCGAACAAAATAGAAAACAATAAGAACACTTGAGCGAAACCCAAAACGAACGACTCACCAAGTAGCTCCTAGAGTTCTATAAAGAAACTTAGCGGAGAAGCAAAAATCCACAACCAATCTCCAAAAATCGATGGCAAGGAGGAACAGGGGACAGAATTAGGGTTAAAGATATTGTGAGAATAGCAGCTTATATTGGTTTCGAAAAAGAGAGGAAACTGAAAGGGTTTTGACACAGAGAAAGAGAGAGGAAACTGAAAGGGTTCTCCTCCTTCCCAAAGACGACAATAAAGGCCTCTTTCCATTGTATGGTCAGTTTATTTTTTTACGTATATTTTTCATGCAACAATTTTTTTTTTTTGTTATAGGGCTTTCTTGCATTTATATTAGACTAAGAAGCTACAAAGTAGCAAAGTATAATTTACAACCAGGAACAAAAGAAAAGAAAGGAAGAAAGATCAGAGATCAACCAAAACCATTGGAAAGTGTCCATTGTTGGAGAATTAGGTCTCCGTGAGAAGATCCTAACATCGTCAAAGCTCGGCATTTATCTTTTGCAGAGTTGAGAATTAAGCTGAAGACTTTTCCAAAAGGAAGAGAGACACCATCATGAAACCTTCGATTTCTTTCTCTCCATATCTCATAAACAGCTCCTTGCCAACCTTGAAGCAAGGCCAACTTTTTGGAAACATCAAGAGTAGAGGCATTAAACCAAGTTAACAAGTGCTCCCAATGCATAGGCACATTTTGGATCTGAAGACAAAGCATGATTTTTCATGCAACAATTACTATGGGCAGTTTGGTCTTTTTCGCTAAAAAAGGTTTGGTTTGCTATACTTCTATTCAATGTTCCAATGAAAAACTGCATAGTTGTTTCCATTATTTAACCATGATCCGACTCAAAAATTGGAAAGGTTTGTGATAAACTCTTGAAATTGTTTTACCAATTCATTAACACAACATCTACCGATGCATGTTACGTAAGTTGTAAACAAAAAATATAAAAATTAGGTGCAAGTTGTTTCTTGAAGTTTTTAGTGACAAACACGGAGTAAGTCTTTGAATAATCAAAAGTTATATTATTATCTCACTGGTTACAATAAAAAACAAAAAAAAAAAGCATACTTGCATTTGTATATAAAAAGCAAATGAATAGAGCTCAGTTTAGTTTGAATTTGATGTAAAATCACGATTTTTAACTAAAATGAATGGAAATCGAAATAGTATAAAAATTAGTATGTGATTTTAGGCTTAAACTCTGTTTATCCTGAGCTTGACATGAAATTTTCGGTGGAGTTGTGGATAGATCACCCGGAAATAAATGACATGATTTCAATAGAATCTGGTGGTATTTGGGATCACATTTGTAATTTCTTCTGTATCTCTGTGTTTAGCATAATGTGAATGTACATCGTTTCGTATAAATTAAGTGGGAGAAAATATTAGTTTTGAATATTTCGCATACTTTAGCCGCAAGTCACAGTCCCAGACGTTTATGTGATAGGTTTTATCTCTCCAGCTATCATTACTTTATGAGATTTGATTAAAAAAACATTAAACCCCAAAGTTCTTGATTAATAAAAGAAAACATAAAACATTAGTAGTAAACAGTGTCTTATGTTCTACTTTTCATTACGGAGATCTGCGTAATCAAATACTTCCCAAGTGCAAACAACACCTTTGAGATCCGACACCTCATCTTTAAGATCCGACACCGTCTGCTCTAATGACAAAACATTAGCAGCGGAAGTAGCAGCTTTACCCTTCTCCTTGTTCAGCTCATCTTTAAGATCCCAAACCTCATCTTCAAGCTCCAACACATCATCTTTAAGATCCGACACTGTCTGTTCCAACGACAGAACTTTAGCAGCAGAAGTATCGGTTTTGAGCTTCTCCTCGTTCAGTTCAACTTTGAGGTTCTTGATGTGTTCCTCGAGTTCTTGGACTTGACAACCGTCAGAATTCGATTTCTTCCTCTCCAAGGTAACCTCAGCAAGCTTTGTCTTCAACCAGTCTAGCTTGAACCCTGCTTCTGTTAGCTCGATCAACTCGATGCGAGCAGTGCTTAGCTCAACCTCGGATAAGCTATGTGGAGGCTTGTTTAGTATCTCGATGAGACCGAGAAGGAGATTCATGTATGCTGTCTTCACAAGTTGGCTATTTAATCTGAAATTTAATGCAAAATCCGGGTGTTGCATGAAAAGCCTCCTTACTGAATGAAGCTGTCAACGAGAGGAAGATGTAATTATGTTAACCAGAAAGAAAAAAGCAACAAGAAGAAGCATCCATATACAGTACCTGAGAATAAGGGACTTGGAAACCATTGAAATTGAACGTCTCATTCCCAGTGACAACTCCTTGATCAACAACTTCAACTACTTTTACTTCCACTTTAAGTATCAGTTTGTTCTTCTCCAAAAACCCTTTCTCTTGAAGCGTTTCAAGAAGCAAGGCACCACCCCATCTTGAGATCTGAGAGCAGAACAAGTTGCAGGATTCTGCAAGACAAAAACACATATAAATTAACTTTCTTCTTCATCATGTCATATAAATAAATCTATGTATAGTATACGTCTAATTAGCTAATTACCAGCTGTTCTGAAGAGCTCTTTGCCTGATTGATTCAGTAGTACAAAGGAAAATTTAGCTTGTCTTTTCCATCCAAGTCGTAATGATTCAGGATTAGCAACACATAGGTACAGAGACATGTGATCATCAATAATATGGACATCTCCTTTGGGATAAACCACAACATACCTGGAAAAGATAAAATAAAATAAAGAAAAACAGAGACAAGTTATTAATGGGAATATAGAGAACGAGTTCAGAGTTCAGAGTTCAGAGTTCAGAGGACAACTCTTCCCATTTACCATTCGCAGCCGCCGATTGAGAGTGCTGGTGATGATAGCACAGCTTCCTTCTCAGAGAAGTTATCTATCTCAAACGTGTAGCTCGTCTGCTTTTGATCCTCCATATCTCTCCAATAAACGCTTTTCTTTTCTTAGGTTTCACAAACTTCTCGACTGAAATTAGGGTTTCTAGGACAATCTTTGTATTTTCTTTTGAAATCGGACCCTATAGTGTGTTCTTGTAGCTTGATTGTTGAGTTATAAAGAGAAATAGTAACTGTGATGTTACAACATTACAATCAAGATCACAACTGCTATGGTTTTAACATCAGATTATTTCCAAAATGTATATGTAGCAGAAAACAATAAATATAAATAGAATTTGACCATCATGAAAGCTGCAATAAATATATGTATAGAATTCTCCGAAGTCCGAATATTCAAAAGCTTACTAGTCATCCGGTTTCCTTCACATAAATTTTATGGGAGATAATATTCTTTTGAATAATTCGTTTACTTTAGCCGCAAGTAAGATTACAAGACGTTTATGTGTGTGTGTGTGTGTATGTGTGGAAGATCGTTCTATGTAATAGGTTTGATCTCTCCAGCTATCATATTACCTATGACGCTCCAAAACTGACAGCAACAATTTTAGACTGAGATGACCCCAAAGTTGTTGATAAATTAAAAAAAAAAAAAAAAAAAAAAAAAAAAAAAAAAAAACAGAAAACTTTAGAATATAAGACATTTAATTTAATTTAATTAAATTTTGTTAATTTAATTAAATTAACAAAATTAACATTTAACAATTTTGTTAATTTAATTTTCATGCGTAATCTAACACTTCCCAAGAGGAAACAACACCCTTCTCCTTGTTCAGCTCATATTTAAGATCCAACACCGTCTGTTCCAACGTCAAAACTTTAGCAGACTTGACCTTCTCCTTGTTCAGCTCATCTTTAAGATTCCACACCGTCTGTTCCAACGACCAAACTTTAGCAGACTTGACCTTCTCCTTGTTCAGCTCATCTTTAAGATCCAACACTGTCTGTTCCAACGCCAAAACTTTAGCAGCACAAGTATCTGATTTACCCTTCTCATTGTTCAACACATCTTCAAGATACCACACTGTCTGTTCCAGCGACAGAACTTTAGCAGCAAATTCGCGCTTCTTCTTGTTCAGCTCATCTTTATGATCCAACACCGTCTGTTCCATAGACCAAACTTTAGCAGCAGAAGTATTAGATTTGCCCTTCTCCTTATTCAGCTCATCTTTAAGATTCAACACCTCATCGTTGAGTTCCGAGACCGTCTGCTCCATCGACAAGACTTTAGCAGCAGAAGTAGCAGACTTGGCCTTCTCCTTGTCCAGCTCAAGGTTGAGATTCTTGATATGTTCCTCGAGTTCTTGGACTTGAGTATCTTCACCATTTGATTTCTTCCGCTCCAAGGAAACCTCATCAAGCTTTATCTTCAACCAGTCTAGCTTGAATCCTACTTCTGTTAGATCGATCAACTCGCCTTGAGCGTTGCTTAGCTCAGTCTCGGAGATGCTATGTGGAGGCTTGTTCAGCGTCTCGATAAGATCAAGGAGGATATTTATGTAAGTTGTCTTCACCCGTTGGTTCTTTTGTTTGACATTTACTGCAAAGTCCGGGTGCTTCACGAAAATCCAACTCAATGATAAAACCTAACCGAAAGTAACCAGTAAAGAGAATCAGTTAAAAGAAGAAGAAAAAACAAGAAACATCCTTATAATTAATACATACCTGAGAATCAAGAACTCGGAAACCACTACAATCACACGTTTCCTTTCCAGTGACATCTGCTTGATCAACAACTTCAACTACTTTAACTTCCACTTTGACTATCAGTTTGTTCTTCTCTAGACCAGCTTCTGGAAGCTGTTTAAGAGGCAAGGCCTTTGGAAAACCCCATCCTGTGAGCTCGGTGCAAAATAATTTGCACAGTGAGTTTGTAAGAGACCCAAAAAAAAAAACAGAAAGCTTAATTAAAATTTCTTCACCATCAATAAGATAGATATGTAACTATATACATGGAAGATAAGTTAATTACCACTTTTTCTGGAGAGCTCTTTGCCTGAGTGATTCAATAGAACAAAGGAATAACTGGCTCGTCTTTTCCATCCAAGTCGCAATGATTGAGGATTGGCAACACAGAGGAAGAGAGACAAGTGATCATCAATATCTTTTCCTTTGGGATAAACCTCAACAAACCTGAAAGGAAACATATATTATTCACTAAACGCTCGAGTTGTACATCTAATAACAAAGACAACGCTATTCTGTTTGTTGAATGTATATGAGGATTTAAGAATCAAACACACATGAATATATACATAATCTTTTCTTTTACCATTCGCATCCGCTGCTTAAGAAATTTGGTGATCGTATCGGAGCTTTCTTCTCGGAGAAGTTATCTATCTCAAAGGTAAAACTAGTCTGCTTTTGGTGATCGTATCGGAGCTTTCTTCTCGGAGATTCTCCATACTCTCTATTCTTAATTAGGTCTTGTTACGTCGAGCAAAAGACGACTCTCTCACAAACTTGTTTTTGATACTTCTTCACCTCATAAACACGTATTTATAATAATATTTTCAAAACCCTAACTCAAAAGCAATATAGAAACATTCCTCGTAAGCCCTAAGTTGTTAGAGGAGAAATTAGCACATTTCCCTGAGCCCGTCATCATTAGTAAAGTCAAAGCCCAATCCGATTTAGGCCTGACTTCCTCAACAAAAAGGCAAGACTTGAGAAGGAAGGCACAATCCATGGAGAAATGTAAACAAATCTCATGCCGACCTGAAGAATGGAAGGAAATCAAGAACAAGAGGAAGTTTTCCATATCGCAAAAGAGGAAGTTTTCCATCTCGCCCGAAGGAAATATTCATCATTCGGCCGACTTATCAACACTATATATTGAAGACCCCCCATGGGGAGAAAGGGATCCGAAACCATCTAGAATCACTAGGCTTTAGCACCCACTTTTACTCTCTCTTCTTGTTCATCACTATTATCTCGCTAGGCTTGTTAGCGAGATAACCTTCTTGTAACTTCTTGATTCTTTGAGTTGAATTAAGCATTCCAGTTTCCTAAACTCACATCTTTGATAGCCCGTCTTGACGAGTGCTATCTCGGATTCAACAACATAAGTCAAAAGCAAATGGGTCAGATTAAACCAGAAGCTGGCCCACTCGATATGTTTGTCCTTTTATTTCTTTTCTTTTATTGGAGCTTTCTCTATTATCTTCTTGTTCTTTTTTGTATTACACACATATAAGAGAGAGGGGGTGTTCTGTAATTGTAACATGTACAATTACTAAACGAGTTATAGTGATGATCTCGCCATAGGAAGGCTTTAGTGTGTTATTTATTTTGTTGCAAGTTTTCGACAAATCTTGTGAGGTGTAGAGGAGCGAACAAACGAGTACAAGTGTTGCAGTCATAAGTCATATCCGATTCTTAGTCCAATCCATTTTCGATTTTTTTTTTCAGTCACACACACACCTCAACGTCCTATAATACTTTAAGCATCAAATCCCAACTGTATAATCTTCATAAGTTGGCATGTGTAAATGATTTCAGTAGACAAGTAAAGAAAAATTGTAACGCAAGGAACCTTTTGAGACGTTTCCTTCTTGCTAATGCATCCGATCTATCAATTAAGGTATAGATGATGTAACTCAAACTATGTTTTCAAGAATAGATGATGATGAAAAAAAAACAAGAAATCAAAGGATAGATTGAAGAGTCAAAGCAGAGAAGATCGTAAATAAGAATTCGGGTGAAAAAAAAAAAAAAAAAAAAAAAAACAGAAATTAAACATATAGTAACAAAATGTTTTATATTCTACTTTTCATGCGTAATCCAACACTTCCCAAGAGGAAACAACACCATTCTCCTTCTTTAGCTCATCTCTGAGACTCAACACCGTCTGTTCCAATGACAAAACTTTAGCAGTTGAAGTATCAGATTTTCCCTTCTCCTTGTTCAGCTCATCTTTAAGATTTGACACCGTCTGCTCCAACGACAAATATTTAGCAGCACAAATATCAGATTTGGCCTCCTCCTTGTTCAGCTCATCTTTAAGATCCGACACCGTCTGCTCCAACGACAAAACTTTAGCAGCACAAGTATCAGATTTGGTCTCCTCCTTCTTTAGCTCATCTCTAAGACTCAACACCGTGTGTTCCAATGACAACACTTTAGCAGTTGAAGTATCATATTTTCCGTTCTACTCGTTCAGCTCATCTTTAAGATCCGAGACCGTCTGCTCCAACGACAAAAATGTAGCAGCACAAATACCAGATTTGGCCTCCTCCTTGTTCAGCGCATCTTTAAGATCCGACACCTCATCTTTAAGATCCGAGACCGTCTGCTCCAACGACCAAACTTCAGCAGAAAAAGTATCAGATCTGGTCTTCTCCTTGTTCAGCTCATCTCTAAGATCCGACACCTCATCTTTAAGATCCGAGACTGTCTTCTCCAACGACCAAACTTCAGCAGCGGAAGTATCAGAACTGGTCTTCTCCTTGTTGAGCTCATCTCTAAGATCCGACACCTCATATTTGAGATCCGACACATCATCTTTAAGACCTGACATTTGATTTGTAAGATACGACACTGTCTGCTCCAAAGACAGAACTTTAGCAGCAGAAGTAGTAGACTTGACCTTCTCCTTGTCCAGTTCAACGTTGAGATTCTTGATGTGTTCCTCGAGTTCTTGGACTTCAGTATCATCACCATATGATTTCTTCCTCTCCAAGGAAACCTCATTAAGCTTTGTCTTTAGCCAGTCTAGCTTGAATCCCGCTACGTCTGTGAGCTCGATCAACTCGCTGTGAGCGTTGCTTAGCTCACTGTCGGTGATGCTATGTGTAGGCTTTTCCAGTGTCTCTATAAGACCAAGGAGGAGATTCATGTATGTTGTCTTCACCAATTGGTTCTTTGATCTGACATTCACTGCAATGTCAGGGTGTTTGAAGAAAAGCATAGTAACTATACGAGCCTGTCAACGAGAGGAAGATGAAACTATGTTAACCAGATCCAAACCTAAAAAACGCTAGTAAAATAAAAGAACATAATACAGCAAGAAGAATCATCCTTGTAAATTGTAATTAAATCGTACCTGAGAATACAGAACGTGGAAACCTCTGTGTTGGAACATCTCATTACCAGTGGCATCTTCTTCATCAACAACTTCAACTACTTTTACTTCCACTTTAACTCTCAGTTTGTTCTTCTCTAGAAACCCTTCTTCTTGAAGCTTTTTAAGAGGCACTGCATTTGCCCAACCCCATCCTGATAACTGAGCGCAGAACAATTGGTACGACGTCGATTCTGTAAGACAAAATCAAGTGTTCACAAGATGTTTATATATATATATATATATATATATACAGTTTACATGTGATAAGTAAATTACCATCTTTTCTGAAGATCTCTTTGCCTGATTGATTCAACAGAGCAAAGGAGATACTAGCTCGTCTTTTCCATCCAAGTGGCAATGATTCAGGATTCGCAACGCGGAGGTACAGAGACAAGTGATCGTCAACATCATCTCCTTTGGGATGAACCCTAACAAACCTGGGATACAAAGGAGAGAAACAGAGACAAAATCACAAAGTTATTTATTGAACTTAGAAGATGAATTACGAATTCAAAAGCACAAAATCGAAATATATATATAATATTTTCCTGTACCATTGGAAACGGCCGGTTGAGAAAGTTGGTGATGATATCGCAGCATCCTTCTCAGAGAAGTTATCTATCTCAAAAGTGAAACTCGTCTGCTTTTGATCCTCCATATCTCCCCCAAAACTCAGTATTCTCAATCTTTGTTACTTCAAGCAAAAGACAGTTTTTTCTTAGACTTGTTTTTCTGGTACTTCGACCTAAGACCGTAACAGTATTTAGAGAGTTTAATTTCAAAATCCTAATTCCAAAAGGAATAAGGAAAACTGAATAATTGACGAAAACAAAAAAAGAATAATTGACAAAAATATAATAAAATAAGAAACCTGAATATGGAATTAACAACCACAAATTTTATTACCTAAGCGAACCATCGATGTCGCAAAAAAAAAAAAAAAAAAAAAAAAAAAAAAAAAGCGAACCATCGATACATAGCCAATAAAGAATTTCTTTTATAAATACCACACGTTTATGTGAATGACTTGTCTTTTTGGTACATTTTGAGGTTGCTTCTTAGTATGTTAGTAAAGCTAAAGTATGACTTTACTTGCAGTATGTTTCATTTTGTCTTAGTTTAGGTGCAGCAGAACAAGATTATGTCACCCTTAAGCCTCGATTCGTGGGGTCAATTAAGTTTGAAAATATTTTAGGGATCGTTAATTGAGAAGATCGAGATTAGGGTTTACGACTAGACAAGTTTTGGGAGGATCACGTGACTTGCTTGAGGCACGAGTTTACTTAATTAATTATAGTCGTGGGGGACATGGGTGGCTTGGAGACAAACAGATTGAAATTAGGGTTTCGAAGAGGATTGATTGAATAAGATCACGTGACTTAATTTAATCCAACCACATTTAGTCCCACATCGGTTAAAGACTACCTAACACATGGGTTTATATACAGCTGATGGATATAACAATAGTAACAACTCGTGGGACATGGTGGCTTGAGACAATAAGGTTTGCTTAACCAAGTGTCCGAAATGGTCACATCCCGGTCCATACTCCCTCTGGCAAAGGGTCCTAGGGGCAAGCTTGTCTCTCTCGACAAGCGGTCTCGGTCCATTCTCGTGGACACATCGAGCGGTTGTATGTTCCCATGAGTGCCACTTTTTGGTAACTACGTGGTTAATCTTGTTGTGCTTTAGCCAAGGGCTGGCTTTGTGTAGGGCAATCCTTTTTTTTTGTCGTGGAGTTCTCACTTATCTTCTTGTTCTTTTTGTAATACACATAACTAAAGAGAGATAAAGCTCTCGTGTTCTTTCTGTAACTGTAACACAAAACGAGTTATAGTGATGATCTCGCCATAAGAAGCTCTACTGTTCATTATCTTGTTGCAAGTTTTGGAACGAACGAGTGCAAGTGTTGTACTCATAAGTCATAACCGATTCCGATTCTGAGTCAAATCCATTTTTGATTTTTTTTTTCAGTCACACACACCTCAACATCCTATACTACTTTTAGCATCAAATCACAATTGCATAATCTTCATAAGTTTTCATGTGTAAAATATTTCAGTAGACTAAAGTAAAGAAAAGTTGTAACGCAAGGAACCTTTTGAGACGTTGTCTTCTCTATCAATAAAGGTATAGAGTAACATATTTAACTCAAACTATGTTTTGAATAATAGATGATGACGACAAAAACAAAGGATCAAAGGACGGATTGAAGAGTCAAAGCAGAGAAGATCGTAAATAAGAATGCGGGTGAAAACAAAATCGAAAATAGAAAACAAAAAACCAAAAAAACAGAAAAAAATAGTAAAAATATGTCCTATAATTTACTTTTCATGCGTAATCCAACACTTCCCAAGAGGAAACAACACCCTTCTCCTTCTTTAGGTCATCTCTGAGACTCAACACCGTCTGTTCCAATGACAAAACTTTTCCCTTCTCCTTGTTCAGCTCATCTTTAAGATCCGAGACTGTCTGCTCCAACGACCAAACTTCAGCAGCAGAAGTAACAGATCTGGTCTTCTCCTTGTTCAGCTCATCTCTAAGATCTGACACCTCATCTTTGAGATCCGACATTTGATCTATAAGAACCGACACCGTATGCTCCAACGACAGAACTTTAGCAGCACAAGTAGCAGACTTGACCTTCTCCTTGTGCACTTCAGCGTTGAGATTCTTGATGTGTTCCTCGAGTTCTTGGACTTGAGTATCATCGCCATTTGATTTCTTCCTCTCCAAGGAAACTTCATCAAGCTTTGTTTTCAACCAGTGTAGCTTGAAGCCAACGTCAGTTAGATCGATCAACACGCAGTGAGCGTTGCTTAGCTCAGTCTCGGAGATGCTATGTGGAGGCTTCTTCAGCGTCTCGATAAGATCCAAGAGGATATTTATGTAGGTTGTCTTCACCTGTTGGTTCTTTGGTCTGAAATTCACTGCAAAGTCAGGGTGTTCAACGAAAAGCCTACTCAGTGAATCAACCTGTCAACGAGAGAATGATGAAACTATGTTAACCAGATCCAAACCTAGAAACGCGACTAAAATGTAAAGAACAAAAAAAAACAGCAAGAAGAATCATCCTCATCATTAAATTATACCTGAGAAGAAAGGACTAGGAAACCATTGACATCTGACTTCTCATTCCCAATGGCATCTCCTTCATCAACTACTTTGAGTTCCACTTTAACAATCAGTTTGTTCTTCTCCAAAAACCCTTTTGCTTGAATCTTCTTAAGAGGTACCGCCTTTGGAAAACCCCAACTTGAGAACTGAGCGCAAAATAAACTGCAGAATTCTGTAACAAAAACAAACAGAAAAATTAATTGGGATTTTCTTCTTTTATAAAATCAGTTATTTTATTTATATACATGGACGCAAAGTTAATTACCATCTGTTCTGAAGAACTCTTTGCGTGATTGATTCAATAGAACCAAGGAATAAGTAGCTCGTCTTTTCCAACCAGGTGGCAATGATTCAGGATTCGCGACGCGGAGGTACAAAGACAAGTGATCATCAACTTTGGGGTAAACCCTAACATACCTGGGGTTAAAGAAAGACAGAAACAGAGACAAGTTATATATTTAAAGTAATTACGATTAAATACGATATTATGTTTTCCTATACCATTGGCAACCGCCGCTTGAGAATGTTGGTGATGATATCATAGCTTCCTTCTCAGAGAAGTTATCTATCTCGAAAGTGAAACTTGTCTGCTTTTGATCCTCCATATCTCTCCAGATCGAAATTAGGGTTTGTACAATAAGACAAGTTTGGGGGCGGATCACGCGACTTGGGCATGAGTTTACTTTAATTATAGTCGTGGGACATGATGGCTACTGCCTACTGGCTTGGGACAACAGATTGAAATTAGGGTTTCGAAGAGGATTAATAAAAAAGGATGATTTTAAGTTAATTAATCCAGTCACGTTTTATCCCACATCGGTTAAAGACTACCTAATACATGGGTTTATATACAGCTGATGGATATAACAATAGTAACAACTCGTGGGACATGGTGGCTTGAGACAATAAGGTTTGCTTAACCAAGTGTCTGAAGTGGTCACATACCGGTCCATACTCCCTCTGGCAAAGGGTCCTAGGGGCAAGCTTGTTTCTCTCGACAAGCGGTCTCGGTCCATTCTCGTGGACACATCGAGCTGTTGTATGTTCCCATGAGTGCCACCTTTTTGGTAACAAAATGTCTGATCTGAGAACAAAGCTTTAGATCAAACTATGTTTTGAAGAATAGATGATGATGATGATCAAACTACAATTTTATTCTGCCAACCCAAACTCAGATATTGATATCTTGGTTAAGAATTGGCATTCCTATAAGGAGGGGCAAAATTTCGTCATAGGAAACAATGGGGGTGATTTCGTAAATAAATAATAACTTTAAGCCTCATTTTGCTATTACATTTCTCTTCTCCTTTCCAGTATTCTTCTTCAGTCTCCGTCTAAACCCATCTTCTTCTTCCCCATTTCAATTTCTTCTCACATAAACCCTAATTTTCAGGGGCCACGCTAAAAAAAAAACTCACAGTCGACAATGGCGATAGTCGAATCACTAGAAGAGATTCCGGTGCAAAACCCGCAAGTAGAAGACTTCTCATGGTCTGATTTAACCTGGACCAAATTCGGCACATCGGAGCATCACGACGTCGTCGCACTGATCCCTTACGCGAGAGTCGACGAATTCATCATCGGAGAATGCTCCAACGCAGAGTGCCCCACTCGATTTCACATCGAAAGAGGAAGGAAACGATCTCGAGGCAGCCTCAAGGACTTCAAAAGCGACGAATACTTAGAATACAGACTGTAAGCATCAATCAATCAATCTCAAAAAACCCCATTTCCTTCAATTGATTAAGCTTCTTCGTATTGAATTGAAGGTATTGGTGTTCGTTTGGTCCCGAGAACTACGGAGAAGGAGGCGGAGTTTTGCCCAGTAGAAAATACCGTCTCAACACCAGAAACCGAGCCGCTCGTCCTCAATCGATGAGAGGATGTACATGCCATTTCGTGGTGAAGCGTCTCTACGCTCGTCCTTCTCTCGCGCTGCTCGTATACAACGAGAGACGCCATGTGAACAAATCCGGCTTCACCTGCCATGGACCTCTCGACAGAGACGCGATTGGCCCCGGCGCTAAGAAGATCCCGTACATATGCAACGAGATCCAGCAGCAGACCATGTCGATGATCTATCTCGGGATCCCTGAAGAGAACGTTCTGGAGAAACACATTGAAGGGATTCAGAGGTATTGTGGGGATGATGATACGGTTAATAGTCTTGCCTCTCAGTATGTGCATAAACTTGGGATGATCATCAAACGTTCGACTCATGAGCTTGACTTGGATGATCAAGAGAGTATCAAGATTTGGGCTGAGAGGAACAAGAAATCGATCTTTTTGCATCAGGAAGCTTCGGAGACTGATCAGTTCATGCTTGGGATTCAAACGGAGTGGCAGTTGCAGCAGTTCGTTCGTTTTGGGCATTGTAGTCTCGTTGCAGCTGATTCAACATTTGGGATAAAGAGACTAAAGGTAAAAAATGGATCTTGGTTTTTATAATGTCTGTCTCTGATGTTCTTGATCCTGATTTGGTAAACACTGTGGCAGTATCCTCTATGCACGCTTCTTGTATTTGATTCAAGACATCATGCTCTGCCTATCGCTTGGATTATCTCTCGTAGCTACCTGAAATCTGATGTTGAGAAGTGGATGAAGATACTGCTCAAACGCGCACGGAGTGTTGAGCCTGGCTTTAAGATCAATGGCTTCATTGTTGATGATGCTGCAACAGAGATTGATCCCATAAGGTATGAATGATGATGATGATGCTTCAAATTTTCTGTAAAAATGATACTCATTTCCGTTTTTGTTTCTTCTCAGGGAGACGTTTTCTTGCCCTATCCTCTTCTCTCTGTGGCGTATTCGCAGATCTTGGCTTAGGAATGTAGTGAAGAAGTGTGATACCATTGAGGTCCAGAGACAGTTGTTCAAGTGTTTAGGAGAAGTTGTGTATAGCATTTGGGATGATGGAGTAGATACATCAAAGGCTTTAGAAAGGTTAACTCAGGATTTTACTGATCAAACCGGATTCATGCAGTACTTCACATCCACTTGGTTACCTAAAATAGGTTAGAGCCTCTGATAACAAGTGCTTCATGTTACTCTTGGTCTTAGTGCCTTATGTGTTCTTTGAATTTGTTTTTGCAGGAATGTGGCTATCAACTATGAAAAGTCTTCCACTTGCAAGCCAAGAAGCGTGTGGTGCTATAGAAGCTTACCATGTGAAGCTTAAAGTTAAACTGTTTGACGACACACACCTAAATGCGCTTCAGAGAGTTGATTGGTTAGTGCACAAGCTGACGACTGAGCTCCATTCGAGCTATTGGCTTGATCGTTACGCTGACGAAAGTGATTCGTTCCAAAACGTTAAAGAAGAGTACATTGCTTCTACTTCATGGCACAGAGCTTCAGAGATTCCAGACTCTGCTGTTACACTAGACAGTAATGATAACACCGTTGCTGCAAAGGTTCAGTCTCAGAGAGACGTTGAGGTAACACGAGTTGTGTCGAATCCAGGTTCGGAGTTTGCCTTCTGCGATTGCGCTTGGTCTTTGCAAGGGAACTTATGCAAGCACATCGTTAAAGTGAATACGATGTGTGAGAACCGTGAAGGATATGGTGACTCAATGTCATTGAGGTCGTTTAAAGAGAAACTGAGAAGCATAAAGATGAAACCTATGGATGACTCGATATCCTTGGACCTGTCGATGGCCTTGACGCTGCATATGCTTGATCAGATTAAGCAGCTGGTGGAGTTAAGTGGAACGGATGATATCAGCAAGATAGTGAATGATTTGCCTGTGAAATGGGGTTGCAAGAGAGGAAGAACAACCGTAGGCATACCTGCTTCTATGGCTGCGTTTACAAAGAAAAGGAGTCAGAAACGAAAGCGATGAGATGATAAGTGGTTGCATAGATCGCTTTGCTTTTGCTCATGAGATCACATCAGCAGGATTTTGAGTAGCTTTCAGAGTTTAGAAGATTCATTTGGAAGGTTTAGTTATAGTTTATAGGTTCTGACACAAACCATTGCATCTCCTTTGCTTTTTATTTGGGTTTTGTGTTGTGATGTTCAAGTGTAAATAATTATTTACACCTTTTTTTATTGCAAAAGAAATTCACAAGTAGGCATAATATTTGACTTTTTATTGATGTTGAATTAATATGAATTCAAAAAGTCAAAGTTATTGTACATTAATTCAATAATTCTTTCCACCTTTTTATACTTTATTATAAATGTTCGTGTAAATGATGTTGTTTCATTCACAGAAAAAAACCATAACTATTTTTATTGATTAATATTTACACAAAACGCAAACAAGAGAAACAAATCTATTTGTATTTTAATCTTTGCATTACACATGTAATATAATTTTGAAAGTTGAAAATGTTATTTTTTCTAATGTGAATTATTTTAAAAAGTAATTTCACATGTGAGTGCATGTGAAAAAGAAAAAAAAAAGGAAACAACCATAGTTTTATTTCAGCCGAATCTTTGAATCAAATATTAGTTGTGTTAGACCAAAGTTTAGAGCTTTATTAGAGTGTATTCATAAAAATAAGAGAGCAAATCTGATTTTACAAAAATATAATTTAAGTAGGGAGAATCTTTGAGGAATGTGGGGGTATGCAGCAACACAGAACAATTCCTTTACAGTGGCCTCCAAGATACCCTGCACTTTTGCAGAAAGGGTCGCAGAAAGGGCTACATCTCAGGTCATAGCCCGGAGGGCGTGGACAGAACGCAGAATCAATGATCATTGGTCTTGCTTCTAATCCTATAAATATTTTATGTTTATTACACAAAAATCAATTATAAGCATTAATCTTATTTTGTGAGGTTTACTAACCAGTGATCAAGAACATTGCAATGATAAAAACGAATGAAGATCTCCGACTATCCATCATTTTTTTTCAGTTCTATGATATGAGTAGTTTCAGAGACTTTAAGCTCTTAATATAGTCAAATTTAAGTCTCTGGTCAAAGAAAAAAATATAGTCAAATTTATAAGAAGTCAGTCTTACATATATTACTTATTTAGTATACGAATTCTTGTTTTGCAATAAATGAATTAATGTACTTTTGGGAAAATTATCTAAAAGGGTCATATTTCTTGTGATTTGTGGAAGAATATCTTTTTTAAGTTTGACTTTATAATGTCTAAAAATCATCCAAAAAATTTATGAAAAATCAAACTAACACTTAAAAAGTAAAGAATCATGGTTATGTTACAATATTTTTTTAAAAATAATAAACAAGTGTTTTTTGGTAATATTATTGTATAATTTATCTCTTTTAGTAGTCGTATTCTGGTTTGCCTTATTTAGATATCAAGATTAGTTTTTGTAGAAGACGTATTCTAGCTTACCTTACGTAGAAAGCTCTTCTGTCTAATCTAGATTTCCAATCTGCTTCATGTAATATTTATATTCTGAATTACGTAATTTAGAAGATAAATTTAGCAACTATAGAAGACCAATTTAGCTTACCTAATATGCAACACATTTTGGCTTACCTAATCTAGAATTCTTATTATGCTTCATTTCCAATGAAAAAACCCTAGATCTACACATTTTTATTTCGTATTTTAACTTTTGAACTCTTAATCTTGACATTGGGAGATGAATATGTTGTAGATCTATACGATGTGTGGTATATTGAAATCAATTCGCAATAATTGGGAATTTTTTATTGATAAAGTGAGATGTGGTAGGATGATTTCGTTTGAATCTGATACTACTATTGAAGAGTTTAAGTTATGGTTTCAGAGAAATATGGCTTGGAGCAGAGTATCGTTGATATAGAAATTAGAAATTAGATATTTATCACACAATCCACAATTGAAAAGTTTGGCTTGTTATTTAAGTAAAGAGAAAGGAGTTCGGTTGTATGTGACATTGAAAGATTAGTTCTGATGACATCAGAAAGAGTAGAATGAAGATAGATTATTCGTTATTTTTTTTTTGAATGAATGTAAAATTGTATTCAATCAAAAAACATGTGTTACATCAAGTGCTTCATTGTTCGAAATGGAAAATTTCTACTATTTTACAACTTATACTCTTGTTGCAAACCAATACATTAGGCTACCATCATAACTAAAGTCTCCAAGAAGTCTGATTGAGCTGAGTCGATTTCTGATAATTTTGTCCAGAATTGCCGCCATCCTTTGTGCCGACATCTCCTTCTGGCCGTGCCGTCGACCATTTCGTTCCCTCCAGAGACCGTACACCGTGGCCTAGAAGGTGTATCTGAAGATGAGTAGTTTGAGACGGTCATAGTTGGAATCCCGTAAGAGATCAACCAGAACATCCCAATCTGTGCTAAATGAGCTTCCAAGTATTCCTTCAAAGAGATTATTCGTTATTTCGATGTCAAAAAAAAAAAAACCCTTTTACAAACTAAAATTGATTATTCCCTATTTGTCTCATTTATATTTTAAATAATTAAGATAAATAAATTTACATTAAAATAAAACATAAATACCCAAACTAAATTTCAAAAGATGTAGTTCCACAACACCATAAGAAATATGGCCCTTTTAGCTAATTTTCCCACTTTTGGGCTACATAAAGTATAAACATTTATATTCAAATATATACTAGTTAAATTAAATAAAAAAATCATAGAAGGTGATTAACTTAACTACTTACCGATGAAGTGATCTTTCATACATGAGAAATTTTATTTTGATTCAGTTCAGTAATGAGTGAATAACTTTGGTACGGTTCATGTGTGAAATATTGGTTGCCAAATTGGATCCAATTTTCAATAATTTTGGTACATTTTAATAATTTTTAGTTCATTTGGGTAAAGTTAGGTTTGGTATAGACTTGACACAAATAAGAAGTCAATCTTTGCAGTTTGAGACAAAACCCTAAGTTGGTCGTTGAGCTTGTTCTCTGCAAGTCGGAGGGGCTCTCGTCTCGTTAATCCCGGCGTCAATAATGTCGTCCCCTGAGAAAAAGAGAAAGAAGAAAGCGGCGAAGAAACCGACCCCAAATGTGTATATTCCCGATGATTTGCTACTGACCTGCATCGCGCCACGGGTCTCGAGATTCTGCTACCCGACTCTCTCGCTCGTCTCCAAGAGCCTTCGTTCTCTCGTTGCTTCACCGGAGATATACAACACTCGTTCCCACATAGACCGCACGGAGAGCTGTCTCTATGTGTGCTTATCGCTCCCTCCTAACCCTAACCCTAGCTGGTTTGCTCTATGCCCGAGACCTAATCGAAACCTAACCAAGAAGAATAAACAAAGTAGCAAAATATTGGTTCCTATCTCATCTCCTCATTTAACTCCTGTTCGGGCTAGTTTTGTCGTTCTTGGTTCTGATATCTACGAAATTGGTGGACTCATCAATGGCGTGCCTTCCACTAGAGTCTCCATCTTTGATTGTAGGTCTCACTCGTGGCACCAAGCTCCAGACCTACAGGTGGCCAGAGAGTACCCGTACGCCACTGCCACCGATGGAAAGATATATGTTAGTAGAGGCCTTGATTCCTGCAATTCATCTTACCAGGTAGAGGTTTTCGATCCAAAAACCAAAACCTGGACATATGAATCTAGAGAATGGTCCGGCTGGAAATCATCAATGAGTGAGTATTATGGATCAGCATCGCGGTTATGTTGTTCTTGCGTGATAGGTAACGTGGCGTATCTCTACCATGAGGGAGAGTTCAAATGGTTTGACAATAAGATTGAAAAATGGAGAATCATGAAGGGTTTCGGAGGACTGCCTAAGTTTTTTTTGGTAGGAGTACTTGTAGTAATGTTCAGTTGGCGGATTATGGTGGAAAGATGGCGGTTTTATGGGACAGGCATGATCGTTCTAGCAACTTTAAGGGAAGAACTGTTTGGTGTGCGAAGATCGCGCTTGAAAAACGTACTAGTGAAGAGATTTGGGGGATGGTCGAGTGGTGTGAACCTGTGCTTAAAGTCCCCGGGTCTGTTTCACTCGTGGATGCTCTTGCTGCTTGTGTTTGAAGATATATGTGTTGATCAAACAGTCGTGTAGGTTAAGTAAGTTTTTTTGGTTTTAGTGTTAAGATCAGGTTAAGTAAGTTATCATTATGTGTTTTTTTGTTTTCTTTTGTTGAATATCTTTGTTTACTAGATTCTTATGAACAAGAGTGTTCTATCGTCTATTGAGCAAACAAATTGAACCTCTTGATGATACCAACAGAGCAACTCATTCTCAAGTGGGGAATTACTAGACCACTACCACTTGGTTAAACCTTACACATTGTTTCAAAAAGAGTTTTCCATAAGCATACCAAACAAATCAACATCTACTGTCATATGGTTAATGATCAGCTCAAGTAAGAGACTCTTTAACACTCTCCATGTGAAGAATGAAAATCAACAACCTTGTACAGTTCCATTCTCTCTTGTCAAGGATGTTTGATTGCAAGCACTTATCAACATGGATGTAAATATTAATAAATCAATTCTGGTTTGACTTACAATAATTAGAATTTAGAACGTTTGGATTCTGGTTAATATTGGTTTAATATGCAATTAAAAATAGCAAAACAATGAACAAAAAGCCGATAAATCTCCAATGTAATACCCCATTTTCAACTGTTTTATTGAAATAAAACTTATAAAACTCTTATATGAAATTTTAAAACTCTTATAGAAATATTTCATAAAACTATAAGTTTTACTAAGACCAAGTGATTATAGCTCGACTGGTAAAAGGACCCTAGACAAAACTTAGAGATCACAGGATCGAGTGCCGTTTGAGACCAAACCAATATTACATGCTGTGGTTTCGGGCCTAAGGGGATGTACGGGTTTCGGCCCAGAACCTCTTAGTAATTCAAAAAAAAAAAAGTTTTACGAAGGAATTCAAGTATCATAATTTCTGATTTGAAACAAATCACCTAATGAAGCCGATCCCCCTTTCAAGAGAAAATTGCCAAAATACTCCAAAAAAAGGCTTCCTTGTCCCATTACACTTTTGCATTTGATCTTTGTCCCAATACACTTTTTTTTGGCAATTTGTCCATTTTTAACCTTGAAATTGAGTTGAAATTAAAACATTTTCGATTTAAAAAATTAAAATTAAAATAAATAAAAAAAATCAAAAATTAAAATTAAAATAAATAAAATTTCTAAAAGTCCTATAAATGATCTAAAGAATGTGTAAAATATTTGAATATTTTTAAAATTGTTTTGGATGGTTAGAAAATTCTTTGAAGTTTTGTTCTACAATTCTAAAATATCAAAGTATAAGCTACATAGATTTGAACCTTATTTATTTTAAAATAAATTAAAACATTTTCCATGAACCACAAGCTATATAATTTGAACCATATTAGTTAAGAAAGGATAGAGAGATAGAGGACTACAGAGGAGGAAGGGGATGAAGAAGACGAGGAAGAACATGGAGGATTAGTCGTGGTATATTTTCGGATAGTTGGAGGAAAATAAGGAAACAAAGATTTGAAAAATATTTGGTTGCAATATTCTCTCGATTTTGGCAGAAGTTGAACTCTACAAAATGTAGAACTCACCTATTTAGTAGAACATCCAGTGGAAACACGATTACTGCGGATTGTAGAAGTCTTCTTTTTAGTAGATCACTGGTTCTACGCCATGCAGAAAAACATGAAATATGTAGTACACGAAAACTAGGACCGGTAGATAGCAGTGTTTACCATAGAATTTGAAATCTACGATTAGTAGCGGATGGTGTATTCTGTAGAATATATTTGGAGCGAATTCTACAAAATGGTAGAGTGTATTGTATATGGTAGATATCGAAGTCTAATCCGGAAGATGAATGAAGAAGTTGTAGATATCATATTCTACGGCGGTTAGACGTGCGAATATCTTGTAGAAAACGTATTCTGCTTTGATAATTTACTTTGTAGAACAAAAACTTCAAAGAATTTTCTAACCATCCAAAACATTTTAAAAAATGTTCAACTATTTTACACATTCTTGACATCATTTTTAGGAATTTTAGAAATTTTGTTCACTTAAAAAAATATTCATTATGAGGTTTTAACAATATTGAAGGCAATTAAGGCAAAAAATGGCCAAAGTCAAAAAAATGGGTAAAAGGACAACAGTGGCCTTTTTTGGGGTACTTTGCCAATTTCCCTATCTTTGAAAGCCAAAAGATTACGAATTACATAAGTCTTTTTATATACCAAATACCATTTAAGATTGAATCTTGTCATGCAAAATGTAGTTTCTATCAAATCCTCGTAACGAAAGTTTTTTTTGCCTCTTAAGACTCCAAAAACATGGGAGTGTTCAAATCCTCATTATCATTTTTGGTTAGGCATTTTTCTATACCATAATTTATTTACATTTACTACAATTATGATCTCTCTTTTTTCATAAGTCTTTCATCGCAAAGTGTATATTATAGGGTTCTCCTTTTGTTGTTTGTATTTTCTTTTGATTATAATAGTTATTTTTTTTTAAAATCAACCAACAACATTTACACGAAACGCAAACAAGAGAATAAAATATATCATATAACTTCTATAAAATAATACCCGATTAACTAATTTATCGGTAAATTAATAGAAATTTTTAGTCGTCACTGAGTTTTTGGTCCAATAGTCTCTTGATAAATTAAAACCTCCTTAAATCAATAAAATATTATGGTCCCAACATTATTATTTTATAGAAGTTTTATTGTATGAGCATTACAATTTGTATATATAATTTTGAAAGTTATTTTTTTTTTTGTTATGTCAATTATTTATATAAAAAAAAAGCTCACATGTGAGTGCATGTGAAAAAGAATGGAAACAACCACAAAAAATGTGAGTGCAACCGAAACTTTCAATCGAATATTAGTTGTTTGTTTTAAACCAAAGTTTAGAGTTTTATTAGAGTTAATTTGTTCAAAAAGACGAGAGCAATCTGATTTTACAAAAATATAATTTAAGAAAGAAGAATCTTTGAGGATTTTGGGGGTGATTTTGTGGGTGTTTGTGGGGGTATGCAGCAACACAAAACAATTCCTTTACAGTGGCCGCCAATATACCCTATCCTTTTGCAGAAAGGGTCGCAGAAAGGAGTACATCTCAGCTCATAGCCCGGAGGGCCAGGACAGAACTTAGAATCAATGATCTCTGGTCTTGCTTTTGATCCTGTAAATATTTTATGTTTATAACACAAAAATCAAGTATACATTATAATCAGTGTGTTGCAATCAATGAATCATTTTTCATTGCATATAATAAACCTGCTAAATTCTACATAAACAGAAATAACATGAGCATGAACATTCTTTTTTTTTTGTGAGAAGAAACATATTTATTATGTTTTTTTTCCAATTTTGAAACTTTAATAGTGAATAGTGGTAATATCATATCCTACTAAATAAATATAAGCATTAATCTTATTTTGTGAGGTTTACTAACCTATGATCAAAAACATTGCAATGATAAAAACCTTAATAAAAACAAATGAAGATCTCGGACTATCCATCAATCTTTCTTTTTCAATTCTTTTTTGTAATATATTGTGAATCTTTGTTATATTCAATGTTTTGTTGTTTCCGAGATTTGAAGTGCCTAATATAGCCATTTTCACATGTTATAAGTTTGCTAAAAATTAATTAGTATATGATTTCTTTTTTGGCAATAAATGAATCATGGACAAATAACTTTGACTTTTAACTAATGTATAACTTTCTGACCAAAAAGATAAATAAAAAATAACCATATAACCTAAACTCAATTTAAAAATTGGATTTATTTAAAAATCCACAGAAGATAATATGAGTCCACTATAAAAAAAAAAGTTATTACACAATATACCTTTCCGCCTTTATTCCTCCCATTTTGTGTTTCTTTCTGTTCTTTTTTGTATTTTTCTTATTTCCGATTTTTTGGTATCAATTTTATCTTCTCAAACATCTAATTCTTATGGGGTTTTTTCTTCTTCCTTTTTTTTTTTTTTATCTATTTCGTCTTCTTTCTCATTTTCTTCTTTTTCTATTTGGTTTGTTTTTTCTAATTGTTTCTTCTTTTTATTCCGATTTTTCAAGTTTTTTCCCAACTTTTCCATTTTTACTATTCTTTTCAAGTTATAACTTCTTCATCATTTACTTCTTATTTATCTTTTTTTCTTTTATTTTATAAATTCTCTTCTTTTTTTTCTAATTTGATTCAGTTTGATTAACCAAATTTAATTATGATTGATTTAGTTTAGAATCAAAATATCTACGACCAGTAGAAAACAATATGTATTAAGAAGATGATAAAACTTTCGAGAAAATAAGGAAATAAATCTATGTTCAACTGATGTATATACTATTTAGGTAATGATTCCAAATAATTATCAATAAAAACATTACAAGCTTAGTGCCGTAATCTTATTATATAAAGTTCGATGCGCACGACATAGTTGCGACACATAGGATTTTTATAATTTACAGGATCGTGACATGTGTCAATTTTTAATTTTACAACCTTTAAGATCTTGACATGTGTTTTGAAAAATAAAAGAATAAAAAATAATTCAAACGATACTAAATAAGGGAAAAATGGAAAAAGGAAAAAAAATACATTTTTCATGCCTCATATTTTAAGAGAGTAAAATGTCAATCTTCTAACGGAAAAATAAAAAAGTGGAAAAAAAACAAGTAGAAAAAGATTTCATATTCTAACAGAAAAATGAAAAAGTACGTTATATTTTAAGATAAAAAAGGATTCATGTTCTAATGGAAAAAAAGAAAAATAAGTATTTTATATCTTACCAAACCAAGGAAATAATCTATTTTTACATATTCTAATGAGAAAAAAGAAAAAAATTTGCATACCTCATATTTTAAGATAAAAAGGTTTATATTATAACGGAAAAAAAGGAACCGAGACGCTGCGTTTCACCTTATCTTATATCTCATGATTCTCATCGTCAAAATTTTCTCATAGAACGGGTTATTGAAATTCATGTTGGACTGCTTAACAAAAACAAAATTAATTATTGATATTTTGGGCTCATTCTTCGAT